TCATAACAAGTCATGCTGTAAAGACCGACCATGACCATTTATTTTTACAAACCTAAGCACACTGATTGTGCTGTGCTTCACCCTATCTTGTTGGATTGGCAGTTTTTTAGTTTTGCACTAAGTGCTTTACAAAAAAGCCCAAGTGAGCACCAAAGAACTTTGTGCAAGATATACACACAAATGCTCCTAATGACGGAAAACTGATTCTCTCCTGAACCCTCATTAGAGTCAATAATTAGTCACATTTTCAGGCAGTCCAGGAACCCTTTGATCTACCTATCTATATAAAATAATCAAAGGCCTATTTTATGGAAACTAAATGAACTCTTAAACATGGCCACAGGCAGATGGTGGGAGAACTACTAAGGAAGATGGTTATAGTTTTCCTTGGAAAACTCATCCTGCTGCAAATGATATTCATTCAACGCTCAAGGGCTTGCTGCTGACTGGAAACTCCACAGCAGGACAGGAAGTAAAAAACCAATAAACTGCATGCAGGAAAGCCACAGCATTTGTGAAGACTCTTTGAGAGTTTATGTGTCACCTTGATGTATGGGCTAAACCTAATTACAGGTCTCAATTCTAGTCTACTTTTAAAAACTTTTTCCCCTTGAGACTAATTTCTTTGAAAAAAATTACCTCAAGCAAGTGGGTTTCTACCAGCAGAAACTCACAAGGGTTTAGTTAACTGAGACTGGATGATGAAGAAAAATAATAGGATCATTTTACTGATGATTCCCTATATTCTAAAGTTCAGAAGCTCAAACCATTATGCATGTAGAGTAGACAAATCCCCACCTCAACCAAGTTTCCCGAGGTACATCTGCAGTGACCACATCTCACTTAGTAACGGTAAAGGTTTCTCCTGACATTAAGTCTAGTCGAGCCTGACTCTGGGTGGTGGTGCTCATCTCCATTTCAAAGCCAAAGAGCCAGCGTTATCCGTAGATGCGTCCAAGGTCATGTGGCCAACATAACTGCATGGAGCACCGTTACCTTTCCGCAGAAGCATAGCCTATTGATCTATTAATATTTGCATGTTTTTGAACTGCTAGGTTGGGCCTAACAGCGGGAGCTCACCCCACTCCCTGGATTCGAACCACTAAGTGAAGGTGTTGGAGGGAGGCTTTGAAAACATGCACTTTATTGTGCAGGCAAGGGACACCTGAGACTCAAAGATCTCTCTCTCTCTCTCTCTCTCTCTCTCTCTCTCTCTCTCTCTATCTATCTATCTATCTATCTATCTCTTCATTTATTTATTTCATTTATGAATCACCCCGCCACTGAAGTACTCTGGATACTACACATTGGATAATAGAAACTAACCTCACTGAAAAATATTAATGTAGCCTGGCATTTCTAGAGGTTCATGATGGCATAAGTGCACAATTCAAGAATAATATTGACAAGCTGGAAGGTGTCCAGAGGAGAATGACTAAAAGATATGTGGAGCTGCTTAGGAAGCTAGATACATTTAGCCTGGATAAGAGAAGTTGAAGAGGTGACATTATAGTCATGTTTAAATATTTAAAAGGAGGGACACACTTGTTTTCTAATGCTCAAGAGACTAGGCGTGCATTTATATTGCAGATTTAAATGAAATTTGACAGCATTCTAACTACTATTCCTCAGTGCTTGGAAATCATAAGAATTGTAGTTTTACAAGGTCTTTAGCCTTCATTGTCAGAGTGCTGGTACCTCAACACATTACAAATATCAGGATTCTATAGTATTGAACCACTGTGTTAATTGTACCATGTAGATGCACCCCATGCTATAGGCGTCAAAATATAGATTGAGTGACCCTTATTTGAAGTATTTGAGACCAGACATATTTTGAATCTCAGACTGGAAAATGGTGGGATTATGATGATAGGTATAAAAAGCTTCACCTAACTATATATATCGAGTGCACTTAAGAAAAGCCTAAAGAAATCAAGATTGCAATCTATAGATGGCAAGGAAAGGAGGGAAAGGAATCTCTCTGTAATGGCTGGAAACTTCAAACACAATTGTGAAACCTGATAAGCCTGCTGGTGATTTCCTTAAGTCTTTGTGACCTCTCTTAAAGGGGGCTCTCCGCTGATTCATGTTGATCATGCCTGACAGCTAGCATTTCCGTTAATAATAATCATAAATAAACTGGACAAGGTCACCTGACCTGAAATGAGCACAGTTACAGCACCATATCCATTATAGCAATGTGTATTCTGTGACAGCAAATCAGGAAGGGTCTGATGCTCATGACACAACAGATTAAAATAATATCAAAGTGGAAATGCCAAGATTTCTTGAATTACTTTATTTAATTCTGTGTTGTATATTAACAAGGATTAAGGGGAATGAGGTATCTCTCTTTAAAAGTTTGTGAGTGTGAGAGGCAATCCTATACTACTCAGCCTTATATCAATACTACCATGATTTCCCTTTGGCATCCCAGCTTAATCTTGCCCCACTGCTGAAGTAATGATCCTGGTTTTGTGACCTCATAAATCTGCAGACACGTAAAAGATTATGCTTCCACCAAATACAGAAGTACGATTTTATTGCTCTGGTATGTGTTGTGTAGCGGGGCAGGATGCAAGAAGACAACGTGTGCCAAAGTACTGGAAAGCTTAATTAGTTAAGAAGCAATGTTTCGTGAGAGATGTAAAAAAATCAATTAATTATTAAATTGTCGTCTATAACTATGAAGGAAATGGTGGTGTTAAAACTGCTAGAGGTTTAATTAGAAATAAGCACAATTCATTCAAATTGATGGCTGTACAAAAATAGGTGCATTTAAGGTCAAAATTAAGCTCTGACCTTTCCTTTTTCCTTGACAGACAGACCTTTCCTTGCACCATTCAGTAACGGGTGAACTTTCTGCTAAAGTAGCTTCAAGCTCCAGCAGGGAAACAGGGTAAGCAATTCCCAGAGAGAGTGCGTCAGAGGGTTAGGAAGGAGTCCAGGGGTCAAGCCAACCAAACACCTGCATTATGCCAGGATTTGCTAGACTTAAACTTATTTGACAGCTGCTTATTGACTTCTTTTTGTAACTCCAGATGAAGCAAAGAGAGGAAAGGTTACAATGTTCCTTTCCTAGAATCCCCAAATGCTGGCTAGTGGTTTCTGCAATATATAGTCCAAAGCCTAACTCATCTGAGCTCTGAAAAAAGGCTTCTGTACTATGAAAAGTGACAGTCTTTGTATTTTCAGGCAGTGACAGACTTTGTATTTCTAGGTGCAAAGATTACTGCAGACGCAGACTGCAGCCAGGAAATCAGAAGACGTTTAATTCTTGGGAGGAGAGCAATGACCAATCTCAATAAAATAGTGAAGAGTAGAAACATCACACTGGCAACGAAGATCCACATAGTTAAAGCAATGGCATTCCCTGTAATAACATACAGACATGTGAGCTGGACAATAGGGAAGGCTGAGCGAAGGAAGATAGATGCTTTTGAACTGTGGTGCTGGAGGAAAGTTCTGAGAGTGCCTTGAACTGCGAGAAGATCCAACCAGTCCAGGAAATAAAGCCCGACTGCTCACTGGAGGGAAGGATATTAGAGGCCAAGATTAAGTACTTTGGCCAAATAATGACAAGACAGAAAAGCTTAGAGAAGACAATTATGCTGGGGAAAATGGAAGGAAAAAGGAAGAGAGGCCAACCAAGGGCAAAATGGATGGATGTTATCCTTGAAGTGACTGGCTTGACCTTGAAGGAGCTGGGAGTGGTGACGGCCGACAGGGAGCTCTGGTATCGGCTGGTCCATGAGGTCACAAAGAGTCGGAAGTGACTGAACGAATAAACAACAACACTATGAAAAGAGAAAGACAAATAGAGAATTAGGTAAAGATTTCCTGACATTAAGTTTAGTCGTGTCTGACTCTGGACGATGGTGCTCATCTCAATTTCTAAGCTGAAGAGCCACCGTTGTCCCTAAATGCCTCCAAGTCAGGTGGCTGGCATGACTGTATGGAACGCCATTATCTTCCCTCAGAAGCAATGCCTATTGATCTACTCACATGCATATTTTCGAACTGTTAGGTTGGCAGAAACTGGCCCTAACAGTGGGAGCTCTCCGCGCTTCCCAGATTCGAACCACCAACCTTTTGGTCAGCAAGTTCAGCAGTTTAGCCCACTGTGCCACCAGAGGGTCCCCAAATAGAGTATACTGTGTATCAAAAATATAACCACAGTGTGCCACTGCTTCCCATGGCTTTATCTCCCAATAACAGATAAGATGGCATACAGACAAAACAAGACACAAGGATTTGCAGATTCATAGTTAAAGGAAAATTAATCTACAGATATTGTGGGTTGCTAAAAGAGACAAAGAAAGGGAGCTAAATCAAGCCTAAACTCTACCTAGTAGGAAAGATGGCTAAACTGAGACAAGATGCCTAAATGAAGACTTCCTGAAATGTAACATATGATTCCTGTTTCCAATTCAGGTTCTTTGAGTCTCCTTTGTGGAGAGAAAAAGCGGGATATAACTAAATAATAACATAATAATAATTTGCTCCTACAACTTCTTTTCCAGAGCCAGTCTTCTTTCATGCCATCTGACCCTTCAAGCTAAGCACCTTTGCATGCATTACTTTCAATGGTGAAGATTTAAGTATTTTCCAAATACAATATGTCTGTTGATTTTATTTAAAGCTAGTATGTTCAATCTTTTTCCCAAAAGAACTTTGAAAAGTTACTTTTTGGAACTTACAACTCACAGTATTTTCTAAACAGGAAGTTTTAGTCCAGAAAATAAACTTTCCCAATCTTTCCCAATCTTTAACAATGCACACATCCATAGATGCTAACACAGGTTTTATTATTTATTTCAGTATTTACCAGTGTCATTTCAGCATATAAGCATATTCAATACTGGATTGAAACTTTGCTTTTAACAGTGTTTCTCAATACCTAAATGCATGTCATGTTCCTATCCCAACACTGGTTCATTTTTTTGGTGCTGGTCATCACTTGTTTAATACACACACACACACACACATAAACATACCTGTATTTGAACGCTTCTTTGGATTTTTGAGACTTCTGCACCTCCCACTGACAGAGCTGCTATTCTCACTCATGGAGTCTTGTGCTGAGGAAGCACTTCCCGTTGCTTCGCTGTCTCTCATCATGCTCTCATATCCACTGCTTCCTCCACTGTGGTAGAACAAGGCTGTTTTCCCCATGGCAGGGGGCAGCTCCCCACTCAGAACACTGCTATTGTCACTTCCATGGCCACTGCTACATCGGTGAGGCTTTCTTGGTGGAGTTATCTTGCTGTAAGGTGAAGGCAGCAGTTGGACAAGCGGCTTTTCTTCTCCATGAATAGCACCACGCTCATCAGTGTCTGAGTTCCTGCGCAGCTGAAGTCCTCGGGTGCCTGGGTTTCCCTGCAGCAGTTCCGAAATCCTTCCATTAACAGCTCTAAGGGGCATCTTTGAAGAAAGGCCAGAATTCCTGCTCCTGCTGAGAGACTGAGTAGACCATGACATATTCTTTCCATTTGGAGGCAAATTTGAGCTCTGTCCCACCGACTGAGGAAGAGACTTGGTTGAAAAGCTAAGTGTTTTGGTGGTTGAAGCCGCCAGACTTCGAGCCTTTGGACTTGCCAAAAGGAGTTTGCTCACTGCAGAGATCTTAGACTGACTGGCCTTTGGTGAGGCACCTGCAGACTGAGAAATGCCTGAATTTGTTGGTGAGGACATCAGACTGCGGTTTAGGCTCCTCCCAGCTCTTGGCATTGTGGTGTCTTTCCCGGAATTCATCCTGACAGAGGACAGACTCTCTGCCCTTTCCAATGACAGGCACTCATAATGGCTTCCATTGGGCCTTCCCAGTGAATTGGTTCTGCTTGCCAGCTGTTCCAGTTTGGCACTAAATAACTTGCTGCTACTATTGTTGCCATTCTCTATACAAGAGCTCTTCTGCTTCCCACTGAATTCATCAGAAAAACTAGCCAAATACGATGATGGTTGGTTTGAAGGGCTGCTGGTGCCGCTGCTGCAAGCGCTGTGCTGAGGGCTGGCCCGATTCTTCTGATCAAGGCTAGATTTCCTTACAGGAGGCAATGGTGGGGTTCCTTTTGGACGTGTGAGAATACAATGCTTGGGGGAAGCGATTCTTCTTTCCAGGCTAGTTTTCGAAGTCTGACCTGAAACAGAAGAGTTAATTGCATTGTACTCTTCAACGTAATGATAAGAGACTGCATCCAATTCCTCCTGCTTGCTGGCCTTTTGGAACCCTCTGGTGAGGCTGCCATTTTTAATGTTGTCAGTAGAATGAATGGGGCTATGGGTAGTGGAACTGGGCAGTCCCATTTCACATCCATCTACAATCCTTTTCAGGTTTTCTGTTCCTGGAGAGCTAGAAGTCTCACCGCTACTGCTACTAAACCTGTCTGCTAAGCTTTGCTTCATGTTTTTTTCAGGTACAGCTTCAGACTTGGTTTCACCATTTTCTTTTTTCACACTGTCTTCCCGCTTCAGCCAAGGGTCATCAAATTTTATCTCTTTCCTTGTATTGTATTCTTTCACATCTTGAAGAGATTGTGTTTTTGCTGTTGATGATACTGCTGAGACAGCTTCATGAGTCTCTTGTGCCTTAAAGGGATTAACAGTGATACATGGATACACAGTAATGTTGGTCTTCATTGGAATGAAGCCTTCACAGCTGCTTAGGCTTGCAGTATTTGATATTGTGACTGTCGTCTTTCCCAGGGCTGATATTTTGCAACCTTTGATGGGTGACATTTTATTCATACTTTTGTCAACCACTTCTGGTACTAGAAATATATCCTCAGCCTCTGGCTTTTGCTTATCATCCGTACAACTTGCACTATTATTTTGTTCAGCCTTCAAAAGCTCAGGAACAGAAGTGTCTGCCATTGCTTCCCCATGACCATAGCATGCTTGTGCTATGAAGCTATGGCATGATTGTTCACCATCACTTCCAGTGCTCATTTCACTCAGCCAGGAGCTGATAGATGAACGTCTACTTTCAGCCTCTTCAGCTTTGTCACCTGGACCCATTTTGGGAAGAGGGAGAAACTGGGTGATGCTGACCTCTGACACAGGAGCTGTGCTGGCATAGCATTCAAGGTCTTCACTAATACTGCTGATAATGCTAACTGGTCGAGACCCAGAGGCCAGCGCCTGCACAGAACAATCACTGTTAAAGCTGATGATACTTGTTGGGCGTCCATTCTCAAGAACACCACTAATGGTCAGTTCTTCCACCAGGGTAAATACTAGCTCATCTTCTCCATTCAGCTCTAATGGCTGCTGTACTGTGACCATGGTGGTGCTTAAAATCTCCTTCTTTGTCTCTGGTGAAACAGATTGTTGCTGCTGCTCTACACTGTCCATTGTCTCTCCATAGTCCCCACTGATAGAAGACAGTGACTTTTTTGTGAGCTGAGGGCTCATTCCTATGGGAGGCGTGCGGATATCAGGCTGTATCAGCGACTCACTGGACACCATGCCTGAATCTTTGCTAAGTGATGATGGTGGAGGTGCAGGGTTGGGCAATACCCCCTTCTGGGTGTAAACTTTGCACCTCTGAGAAGGAGAAGTAGGGGGCTTATATTCAGATGTCTTGGAAAGGCTTGCAATGCCAAGCCGTGGGGAACCCATGGATCGGGGCTTTGTTTCTACAAAGCCGCAGGAGTTAAGACTTTCATGACTGCTTTGTAGGTCTGTGCAATTAGATTGCTGGGAAGAATTCATCTGGCTACTAGGACTGCCTGTAACACTCCTGGGGGAGGGAGGAGTAGAAATTTCATTGGGCGTCTCACTGTGAACAGGAGAGTGGCCTCCCTGAACATTGTTGGGGACTGTGTTTAGGTTTTCCTTGAGTTCTTTATCAGGCTCTTGGAAGCCTTCTTCCCTGTCTGGGTCTAATGTATTGTTGAGCTCTGGCACCTGGCTTGATAAAGGGCATTTGGTTGCTTGGTCTGAGCTAAACTGAACAGGCAGCTCCTCAAAAGGAAAATGGTCTGTCTCCTCGCTGCCATCAATGCAGTCTAATCTCTCCTGGAGTTCGGCAAATGTATTGCACTTCAAGCAGTCTCTCTCAGAGGCGCTGGGAGCTGTCTCAGTCACTTCATCCAGCTTGCCTTCATTTCTAGTCTTCTGAAGGGCAGGAACAATGGGAACAAAATCAGGGGGGCCTTCGTTATCTGTCAGCTCCTTGTCTGAGAGGGCGGTACCATTTGGGCCAACATAAATGACAGTGTCACATGACTGTTCACTGCTAGAAGAATAATCTGGGTCACTGGATAGATGAAGAATAGGGAAGTCTGGATCAACAGCATTTCGAGAATGAAAAGGTCTCAGCTGGGTAGGCCTCCGCATTCTCCCTTCTTCACAAGAACTTTCTCCTCCAGAAGAACTTGATGTGTACTATGAATGGGAAGAGAAACCAAATGTTACATTTTAGATCATCCCTTCAGGAAATTCAGACCTAAGGCCAGAACTCACAGACAGTGATGTGTGTGCTAGCACCTAACCATGTCACCCATGTTAATTGCCTCTCGCAACATGCAGTAGAATGGGATTCAGTGGCTTCCTCTGTAACACATCACAGTCTGTTGTGTCTCACAGTCAATTTTATGGAGCTAACAAAGCTACAATGGAAACAAATTTTGGTATTTTAAACAACTCCAAATAACTCATTTATTCTATGAAAATTATTGGTTGTCTCTTGTATTGGATGTTAGAAACCTCACAGTAATTTTTTTTTCAAAAAAGTAAATATTGATTTTCTTTAATATTATTCTCTTTTTATATAAAAAACCGAGTCTGATCAGCACTGACTTTCCAATACAACATATTATTTTGCAGGATAAATCTTAAATGTAAAAAACAGGCATGTTGGATCAGACCAAACGCCTATCTATCTGTCCAATATATTGTTCACGCAGAGATCAACTAATTGCCTATTGTAAACTTGTCACCAGGAGACAGGTTCAGGTACACCCTCCATGTTGTATTCTGGCAAATGATATACAGAAGCTTACGACCTCTGATATTGAAATGCTATAGACATCTTGACTCTATCCAACCCACTCTTGAATCTATCCACAGATGAACCATGCTTACAACTTGTGGCTGTAGACTCCATGCCTTCACGGTGCATTGTGTGAATATGCAATTCCTTTTACTGATCATAAATTTCCTACCACTGAGCTTACTGAAGGGATCCATTGGGATGACCATGGGTTCTGGTATTATGAGAAAGGGAGAAGAGCTGCTGCTCACTGCCTACTTTCTCCTCATTATATACACACTTCTATAACGTGTCATCCTTTGTCCAAGTTAAACAGCCTCAAACAAAGAAATCTCTGTATTGTTGAAGGCTTTCATGGCCAGAATCACTGGATTATTGTAAGTTTTTTGGGTTGTATGGCCATGTTCCGGAAGCATTCTCTCCTGACGTTTCATCCACATCTATGACAGATATCATCAGAGGTTGTGAGACCTCACAACCTCTGAGTATGCCTGCCATAGATGCAAGTGAAACATCAGGAGAGAATGTTTCTGGAACATGGCCATACAGCCCAAAAAACTTACAACAACCCAAAGAAATCCTTCATTTCCAATCATGGTTAGGGTCTATTTTAGAAACTACTCTGCAGCTGCCTCCATTACACCACTCAATATTGTTCAACCCAGCTGTTCCAGGTAGTTAAAGGGTTATTACATCCTAGACCTCAGATTGCTGAGAAGGAGTCCTCAGAAAAGCACTGTGACAAATTTGCTCAAGACTCTGCGAAGAAAATTGCTTGGATACATTTTGACTTAGACTCCACATTGAAGATAGAGTCTGGGGAGATAAATGAGGCGTGTACCTGCCCAGTTTTGATGGATGAGTTTCAGGTTATTCAACATGATGATGTGGACAAGTTGCTTGGAGAGGTGAGGCTAACCATTTGTCTGATTTATTTATTTGTCATTTGTCACAGAGAACATCCTCTCTTGTCATTATTATCTGTCTCAATTTCTCACTTTGTCCCTGCCCACCCCCCACCCTGAAGAAATATTTTCATGGGAATGCGTAGTAAACTTCAGTGATGAAAACATATCAAAATAATTATTTATATTTCTCCTTTAATTTCATTGTTATCCAAAGATCCAGTTGCCTCTCTGGCTGGCTTTATTTTATTTATTACATTACTTTTGTTTATATACTGCCTTTCTTCTAGAATAGTACTGAATGTAGCCCCCCCCCCCCAAATAATGTTTAAAACATAATTATAATTATCACATTAAAACAATAGAATGAAATAGTATGCAATCACTAAAAAGCAAACAAAAATTAAAGCACACAACACATTCTGCAAGTGTTTACAAATTAAAAGCCACAACACACTCTTGAATCTTGCTCAGGAAAGAAGATTTGGGACTTGGCTTGTTTTTTTTAATTCTGACATGTTTAAAACATTACTTTTTGTTGGTCTTGATGCTATTAGGCATGCATAATCATAGAAAAGCAGAGTTGGAAGCATCTGTAACAATGGTTCTCAACCTGTGGGTCCCCAAGTGTTTTGGCCTACAACTCCCAGAAACTCCAGCCAGTTTACCAGCTGTTAGGAGTTGAAGGCCAAAACATATCGGGACCCAGAAGTTGAGAACCACTGATTCTACAAGGACCATCTAACCCAACCTTCTGTCATACAGGAATACACAAATCAAACATGCCTGAAAGATATCCATCCGGAAACTACTGAAAGATCTCCAAAGAAGAAGAGTCCACCATCTGACTTTTTCAATCTATGGTTTTTGCACCTGTAATTTTCTGTTAGCATTTTCTGTGTTTACATTTTGTTCATTACAGTCACTCCAACAGGCAATACTTCTGACTTTTAAAGATAGCTATTTAACGTCTTAACCGTTTCTTTCACACTGCACATTAGCCATGCTGGTAACCTTTTACTTAATTAAGCTTTGGTGGTTTGTTCAAAACTTTACACATCACAGGGGCATTTGACCTTTTTTGGCTTTTTCCTCAAAACTTCCTTTTGAATAGCTCACTTATTTTTGAGATTTCCTTCAGAAAAAGTGCCTCTTTCCATCAGTTACTTTGGATAGAAGCGTCTATTCAATATTAACCATTAGAGAAAGAGGTATTCTGGATGAAAGCCATGATTGGAAGTGGATCTTAACTGATAAATTGGTAAAGTAACAACCATGGTTGAAGAAGTAATTGCTTGGAAGTATCATTCAGTGGAATAGCCAAATCTTTCTTCTATAACATTACTTGTGTGACTGAAAGTGATCAAAGTGGAAAGGGGGGAGGAATGAAAAAACACAACATACTTCCTATTTCTAAGACCCTCTTTCATTGGCAATACAAGGGGTTTCATAAGAATTACCCTGTCCCCAGCTTTGCAATATTTTATGTGTTTAGATCTTCTACCCTTATTAATTTGGAGGAAAAAAGGATATATAGACAGATCTCACTTTACTTTCTTGCATTCCTAAATGCAAAAACAATATTATCTCTATTTTAGTTGTATAAAATAGATCTAACCGTTCAGTAATTTCAGCAGAAAGTTATAAAACGTACTGCACTGTTCCTCTAGGCAAGTTATTTATTTCCAGTTACGGAATGTTTCCTTGTATCAGACCTGAACACAGTGGGACTCACTTCTAAACAAATATCTTTGGGAACTGCAGTGAACTTTGAGGGGGGGGTGGTATTTCAAATGCTTCTAAATCAGTGGTTCTCAACCTGTGGGTTCCCCAGATGTTTTGGCCTTCAACTCCCAGAAATCCTAACAGCTGGTAAATTGGCTGGGTTATCTGGGAGTTGTAGGCCAAAACATCTGGAGACCCACAGGTTGAGAACCACTGTCCTAAACAAATGAAACAAAAAGAAAACTATTAGAAACTATAAGCAAGCTTATATAAGAGATTGGCTGGTTTTCTCACCAATTTCCTTCAAGACAAACAGCTGTAGAAATACAGTTTTGATCACAATTCTTTTTAAAAGACTAATACGTGCTCAAGAAAAAGATCTTTATTTGTTGGCAGAAACTGCTGACTAACAATAAGGCAAAGCGCCTTCCACACATAAGCACACAAACCCCGCTATGTGGCTTTCCAGAACCCAGGCTACACAATTTCTTTTTAAAATTTGGGTGCTGTTTCTTGATTTATATCTCATGTTGTACATGTCTGCTAGTATAACAGGACTGTGTGGCTTTCTGTTCTCTTCTTAGTACGCCTAAAATTTACAAATGTATTTCTCAAATTTACAAAAAAGTAAAAAGACAGCATACATGGAAAGAACATTTGGAAATAGTTAAAATAGTTTGAAAAAGGTTTTCAAGGTTGGAAAACACTGACAGAGGGAATTCCAGACACATGAAAACTTTTGTAGATAAGGACCTGCATGAAAATGCATGTAAGGGTTTTTGACACAGAAAATAACATTTCTGTGCAAAGAAAAAAAATCACCTTCATAGAAAACATTATTTTAAGCAACAATACTTGCAAATTGCAACACAAATCTAACAGTCTTTGGAAAACTGGTGATAACTTTTGATTACTTTCCTGCAGGAAGATACGATAAATTATTCTTGACAATAAGATTAAAATTTACAAAGGTTTACATTCCAAGTGAACTGGCACCACTCGCTTTCATTCACTATTTCAATAGGGAGTAAGGGTTTTACTGGATCTGTTTCTCTTCTAAGAGCAGGTTAGCAATTGTTTTAATCAAAACTGTATACTGAGAAGTTAACAATATGACTGTCATATATATTCATTTCAGAAACTTCTTCCAATAAAATAAATAACCGATTCCGTGATTAGATCAGAATTCCCAGCTTCTCAAAATTCATCCTTACTCCAAAGATAAGAGACTATATTGCATTCAAATGCTTTAATTTTATTTGTACCTTCCAGCCCATATTCAATTATCTTGCTTCTTAACAGAGGTTTGTACTTGTTGGAAGATAATGGATAAAAGGCTAGAGAAATTCGCATTGAGGACATACATTACAGTTTGTTATGTTGGAGAGATTTCTTTTGGTGAACAGATCATTGTGCATTGATATTTGCGGAACTTCTTCATTGATCTCAGTTCACATTTTACAATCCTTAGGCTGCTAAAGTAAATAATGATCATTCAAGATGGTATAATGATTACAATATTCCTGTTTGAAATTTTAATTCGTATTCAGTGCTTAAGCTAGCCTAATAAAACAACCTCAGTGCTAGAACCCTCTGTCATAAACCTGACTGTTATAAACACTAAATTGTTTGCGTAACACTCCCCCATTCACGCAAATGTAGTTCCAAGCATTGAGACATTGTGAATATTGATTTTGTTAGAATCTGCACTTTTAAGGCCTCCTCTCTTTACCTGTGACTCTTCCCTACTTAGGTCTTGCCAAGGAAAGCTAACAAAGGATTTTTCCCCTTCTATCCTTACCTTGGTTTTCTTCTTCTTCATCCTTAAGACCCTGGATGCAATCTGGATGGTGGAAAGTGTCTCAGCATAGTTGCCTGCAGCTGCCGAAATGTGAGCTATCATGGTGGTTCGGCAATTCATGTTCCCAAGGGACTCCCGGAGCAACATGGTCAGCTTGCTGTCTCTGCAAAATAAAAAGAATTAAGGCTACATTAGTGAACCATGTTTCACTTCAACTGTCGGGATGCGACTCCAGGTCTCAGCAAGATTTCTTCTTTTTTTAATGGAATACTAATTAGTATTGTTCTTCAGGATTCTAGTGCATGGCATCTGCAACTGAACGAGATGGGAAATCCTTATGCTGAATGACAGGCTCCCCCCCCCCCCCATTTCAGCAGTGGCATTGCTGAAAATGGCAACTCATAACTAGTACTGCACTCATAGTGGACTGGAGTTTATAAACACAATCCTGCCATACCAAAAAACAAAGGCAGAGATGGGCCAGGCCTTTAAAAACAGCACTGGTTTCACCCCTGCCTATTCTATTTGACTACTAAAGATGGAATTAGTTTCTGCCATTTCCCTCTCCTGTCACTCACAGCGTTGTCGCTGAATGGGTTCAGTTTTAAAATTCTAATATTCTTCCCCCTCCTCCCTCCCTTTTCTAGCACTCACAATGATTGTAATGAGACTTGGAAATGGCATTGCATGACAATTTTCGTGGCAGTGAAGAAACTGTGTAAATGTAACCCATTAAATGCAACCAGCTTACGACGGCAAACATTGGTGTTCTGTCAAAATGTGAACAAAAAGATTATTTTTATATGTGTGAGCGCAAAAAACTCTGCCTTCTGTCAGCCACACACAAGACAATTTGAGGAGTAAAACAACCCCTGCATATAAGGCGTAGTAGTGAAGAGCTTTAATTCAATGCTATTAACAAGGGCACAATCCACTGGGAACTTCTCCTCTGAGGATGCTACTGAAATGGAGGGAAATTCTGCTGGAGACGTGCGCGATTCACTTAAAAAGCCTACTCTATCATTTCTTGACTTAATGGGATTCCATTCTTGAAACCTCAAAGAGACCTTCTTCAAGTGGAAATGACTCACATACTTATTCTGACTATGGGGAAGCTAAATGGGGAGGGGGGGGGGAGTCTAATAGGGCTGCTTCTCTTGTCAGCTAGGGAATGTGCATGCCTAGCTTGAGGTTAATCAGACATTAGCCAGCATTGTGATACTATCTGCCCAGAAGAAATAGAGAGAGAGCATGTATCTACATTTGTTTTTTGATGTTAGAACTCTTAACTTTTTTCCAGGCAGCGAGAAATATTTACACAAATGGTCAGAGGTGCAATGGAAATGAGATTTTCCTGGCTACTCTTTACAGCAGAGCTTTCCAAACGTGTGTATCGTGACATATTAGTGTGTTGGCTGCAGTGTGTAGGTGTATCGCACAAACGATGAAATCTTGGAAATGTATGGTATTATCTTACAACTCAGGTATTTTTTAAAAATATATGAAAGATTTTCAAGAGACACTGGTATGTTTTGTCCCCATACATTTTGCGATTTCAATTTATGTATGTGTCCATATCTTTTATAATAGGGTTGGTTTAATCTCTGATTTGCTGGTAAAACTGAATTACTATGTCACAAAATGATGCATGTGTACAAAGTGTGTCATCAACATGAAATGTTTGGAAAGCTCTGCTTTAGAGAATTAGGGAAGTCAACAAGGAAGTCAAAATTTTGTTCACCAGTTTCATAACACAGTAGCTACACTGGGTTGCACCGTGGCATGAAAATGTGGCAGGAATGGAGGGCTGTGTGTAGTTGGAGATTGCACCTTTGAGCAGTGCCTTTAACAGCACAAGCACTTGCCCAATGATTAAACCAGCATAACACTATTTGTGTGACCCTGATTAGCATAGTGCCTTCATGCAATGCTGCAAGAAAACATCCCTTGTGCATTTAAACCAGTCTATGTTGCCAACAGGATTTAGGTTGGAATGTGCAAGGACCTCAAAGGCTAACTTCTAAAGCACAGACAGTAAGGTTCAGCACTGACTTGAGAATCAGCACTCTTTCTTCCAGTCCATACACAAGCCTTGCAGTTTCCGTTCCCTCCTCTGACTATAATCTACTATGTGCAGCAACAATGGCAAGGAAGATTAGCTCTTATATACACAATATGTTGATGAAAAAGTCAAAAAGTTAACTTACTAACACTGAACAAACAATCCTTTGTCAATGCTAGGCACACATTTATGTCTACTTCATGTTTAATGTCCTTAATTAATTATTCCTTAATGTCTACTTCATGTTTAAAAACATCAGTCCTGGGAGCCTTGGAAATGATTCTTCTCAAAATGTTCTTAGGGAGCAAACTTTGCTTTCTTATCGATTAGTTTATGTCTAATTGTGAGCTAAGCTGTGTCGACACTATACATTGCTATAAAGAGGATATATACATTCTTCCAAATTTATTCGTCTTGATTAATTTTTATATGTCACCCTTTTCTTAAACTATTCAAGATGAATTACATGAATAATATCAGAAATCTAAAGGCGCTTCCACACAGCCCTTTATCCCAGGAGAATCTATGTTTAAAAAATGCAGATGTTCCTAGGCCCCTATCCACACTTTGCTCTCCCCCCCCCCCCCCCCCCCCCCCCCCTGCTCTCCTGGTGATTAATTTCTATGCGCCAGCAGAGTTCCAGCAACACTGTAATGGAGGCTGGATAAGTTTTCCTCCTTACTTTTAAAAGGAGTTTGGGGGCTTTGGGGGAGGGGATGGGATTCCCACAGTTTTCCGGACTAATTCCGACAGTCCGGGAAAACGCTGAGAATGGTGTCTGGACTGCAGTCCTGACACTGGAAATAGTGGTTTATCCTGTACCTTCCAAGAAGCTGCAGAATAAATTCACCATCTAATTAATTCCTAAGCAACTCTACAGCTTTACAGAATTAATTTTGGGTTGGCCAGAATGTCATCAGGACAGCCTCCTTTTGATTACAGAAGTTTCCACAATAAAGGGGCTGTCTGAATGGGCCCTAGAACATAAAACTGCAAAGTCAAAGATAAAAAGGGATAATGAGAAAGCAGACCAAAAAACCTATAATCATCCCCACCACCACCAGGAATGTTCTCACATTGGAAACCTAGCTAACATTGACCGTTCAATATGTTTTTGCCAGTTATTTTTTATCAATGTATTACATTTTAAATGGTTTTAAACTGTTAAATCAGTACTGGTTTGGGGCATACCATTTTCTTTGCTAAGGACTAAAACTATGTTTATGCCCAGTGGCTTCATTTCCTTTTCTGGTAATTCATGGTGGATCAGAAGCTAATTACATATAAACCAGTTCCAGTCTAAGGACCACGTCTGGAGAAGTATTAGTTGAAAATGATTATACTTGCATGCTGTATTGAAACCCCACATTTTATTTATTTATTTAAGAAATGTATACCCTGCCTATCCCCACTTAAGGGCCCAAGGTGGCTTACAGCAGATAAAAACATGCATAATGAAGGTTAAAACATTTAAAACCAAATATTAGTAGCAGCTTTTACATGACCACCTCTCCTATGACTGTGTAGTTAATTCCACATTTGTGTTATTTCAGAAATTAACCAATCAGTTTAATATGCAGACTTGCTTTTGATAAGTTTGGAATTGGACTTTGGGAACTGGAAACCCTAACAGCACCCACATGTAGCTGAGTTGCAATCTCTTACAGGAGTAATGAATGGCCACCTCACAGCCTGTCTTCATTAAGTCTTGCATTAACAAAGCACTCAGCATCACCAACCGTTTATTCAACCGATTTAAGCTTTACTCATTGGTTCTAACAAATGCCATAACATAAGGGTATTGTTATAAATGGTCCCCTGTGAGTGGGAAAGTTCCTTCATGTATCAAATAACATATTTCTGTTGGAATAAAGAAATACCTCTCCACCTACTCACAACCATTTATAACTAATGTTTTCTAGAGTAGATAAAGCATTGAATTAGGCAGGGGCTCCTAATCAAGATTTCTTTTTTTAAAAAAGCATTGTTTCATGTGAAATATAGTCTGGGAATTTAAGAGGTATTCTATTGAATCCAATTTTGCCATTTTGATAGTTCTATTATTTTAAGACTTTTCTACTTTTATGTCTTATTTATATATGGTTGGCGTTACTTTTATGTCTTATTTATATGGTTGATGTTTGGATGTGGTTTTAATGATCGTGTAAGCCTCCTTGGGTCCATCAGAAGAAGGCGGGGTAGAAATGTCCTAAATAAATAAATAAATAAATAAATATTTGAAAATTATTTCAAATGGTGAAATGCCCTTCTCCTAAGAGACCTTATTGCTGCAGACAGACATTGGGTTATTTTGTTAGCAACAAGCCAAGAGATTTCTTTTTATTAAGCTTTTGGGGGATTAAGACTTTTAAGATTTTGACCTATTTAAGTTATTTTATTGGGTTGGGAGAGAGAGAGAAAGCTTTGCTGCCAAATACAATGCCATAAATAGAAATATTGCCAATTATAGGTATTTACAATCTACAAATTAGAAATTTTAGTGTCACTATTTGCAGAGACACTGCAAATTTGGACACTGACTGAATTTTCTTTCTTATAAGGGCGACTATACCATATTAATCCATTTAATAGCAAACATCAGGTTTAAAGTAAGCATTTTTCTGAAAGACTGGAAAATTGCCAGAAAGTACAAGTTTGACCTTTCTATTCTTTGTTAATTTGGTCAGTACTTTGCTTCCTGTGGGCAGAAGTAGTCAATCCCACTACAGCATGTGGCAGAGTGTGATACAAACAAAAGTCCATTAAGATGACAGCAAGCCATTATTTCATTGGTGACCTGACTCAGCTTTGAACCCACAAATTTAGAGATAAAAGGCTGACATGCAGGCTTTGTGCATCTTCTCTTCATCAAGGAATATTGCAATATCACAAACTGTGCCTCTGCAACTGGTATTCCAGGAAATATATACATGGAAATTATTAACATCTGTACAGAAATCAATACCACGCCTTTCATTTACTCATGCTTCCATCAAAGCAAACCATGGAATGACAGTGCAAAAGGGCAACAGACTACATTTGGGGCTCAAGGGAATATGAAGCTGTCATCAGCAAACTGGTGTGGACTTCATACAGATTAT